ATAATCGATTATAATCAAAATGAAATTTTATTTGGATAAGTTAACTCAAATGTGATTTTAAGATGTTTAATTTCATTTGGATACAGCAAAACAAATCAGTTTGTGTAGTAAATTAACTTTGAAGGAAAAAAGCTTTTGAGAAATAATTAAAAGTTTCAAATTTTCAGCTTTATAAAAATAACTTATTTTTCAAGAAAAAAAAGTTGTTTGCAAGTTTAAGCTGTTGTCCAAACTGCTCCTCTCCCTTTTCGTCTCTCTTTTTCTCTCACCCACCAAACCCCGCCACCTCCCACGTTTCATCCCCTTTCCATCCAGATTTCATTTTTTCTTCACTCCCCACACTTTTGAACAAACAAGCACCCATTTTTGTCAGCTTTTCAAGGTAATGTTCCCATTTTACCTCTCTCTCTCTTCATTGCATGAAGAACGCTTCTATGTTCTTCTTCTTCTTTGAACTCCTTCTATGAGTCTTGGCATTTTTGGATTGAAATGTACAAATTTTTTAGTGTTTAAGCATACATTATGGGACATGCATGATCATCCACATTCTATGCCTGCTTTGTGTTCGAAGAAACGCTTGAATGAGAGGAGTATTTAATTTGAATGCAATGAGCACACTAGAAAAACTGATCATTCAACTGTTCCCTTGTAGTGATAAAATTTAAGACTTGAATGACAAGAATGCACTTGCATGTTGTTCTTCTCTTTCTCATATCTACCAAGTGCATGATCAAATGCTTGAGTGAATATGTGTTCGTTGTTTAAAATTTAAAATGCAAAATCATTGTGGTGGATTGATAATTCTTGCTATTATTGGTTGGTTGGTGGTTGCTGTACCCGTAAAGCTTTTCCTTGGAAAACTTGACTGATTTTGTTATAGAAAAATTTTCCAAGCAACAATTTTGGGGCTTTCAAAGTGTTGCATGTGTTGTGTATAAATGATTGTCAATGAGTTTGTAATTTCCATGCATGCGTTGTGTACAATTTTAGGGCCGATGGAAATGTGCTTATGATCTCATGTAGTACAATGTTTAGCAATCATTCCTTTTGCCCCATGAAGAATTGTATGATCAACTTGTGGAGTAACTTGGTTGCAAGAATGATTTTAATTTTCAGATGCCACGCTCAAGAGGTGGTGGTTCTCAACCAACCCACAAAATTCCAGCTGATCGTAAACGAAAGAAAGTGGTTGCGTCTACTCCAGATTCATCTTCATCTTCATCTTCTAAGGAAGAAGCAACACCTACACTCTCACAACCTCAACAACCTCCAAGAGGATTCGCTTTCTTATCCAACAGATTCCAGAACAAATTTAAACAACAAAGATTTATAAATCTGGAGGGCAGACACATCATTGCTGAGAGACCGGTTGTTGATTTTCTTCCTTTGTTGGACTTTAGTCATGAAGTCATCAGAAGAAAGTGGACAAAGATATGTCAACCCAAAGAAAAATATAATGCAATCTTGATCAGGGAGTTTTATGCTAATGCCTACCCAAATAAACCATATTCAAAGGATTGAACCTCTTGGGTGAGAGGCAAGTCCATTTCTTATGATCCAAAGACCATCAATACATTCTTGCAGACTGATTACACTATTCCAGTGGAAGACGACTATAGGAAATTAATGAAAACTGCAATAAATGAGGAAATGTCTAATTTGATGCTTACTCTGAGCCTTCCAGGGAGTCAGTATCAAACTGGTACCAAAAATCAATCCACCCATATCCTCAGAGCGGATTTG